TGCTGTTTTTAGTGTCAAATAAAAATTGTAAACTATTGATTTTTTGATGTTTTTCCATCCTTTATTAGTGACACTGAATTGACTTGGTATCTGAATTTCTATTCAACAGATAAAACTCCCTTGCTCTTTGATTTTGACGATGATCTTTTGCTCCAAGAATTTCATTATATTTTAGATCTCAATGATGTACCTTAATGTGTTGGCGTATTGTGTTGGATCGATGGTGAACTGAACACTGTATTAAACAAAATAAGAAAAATGGATGTTTTTGTCAACTGTTATTTCACCAGAAATAAATAAAATGATAAAAGTAAGAGATTATCAATTTATAAAGAGTATGTGATCTTTTCACAAAGGTCTCACTTGAGATTACCTGAATACAGACTTGTATGAAGTCAAATGAAAAAATTGAGCCACTAAAGTTTATTCGAGTGCAAGGTTACAGGTAATTTATGTCGCCTAGATGGTTCAAGTTGAGTCTGGTTAAAAAGATACCTGGCTTTCTATAGCAAATGAGGTAGCCACAGAGCACTGGCATGGGACCAAGTAGGCTATTAATATTCTTACTTGAAAAACATTGAGCTGCCAGCCGGGAAGTGAAAACAAAATTGTATAAGAGAGGATTGGTGCTCCTTGCATCAGTGCTTGTTATACTTGACCAATACCATTCCACATATAGGAATATAGAAATGTGGTGGACCACATCAGTCACCAGGTCAGATGGGGGGCCCTGCTCCTATTTTTCACCACCCCAAACTGCTGTGTATTTGTATGGGGCAGGAGTAGGCAACCTTTTAGTAGTACTGTGCCAAAATAAGATTTTGAAGTCCCTTGGTGTGCCGGTAGTCATTTTTTCAAATTGAGGTATGTATGTTGCCGTATTGTGCTTGTGTTATTTATGAGTGCTGTATGTAGTTGCTTTGTAGCATTCTATTTGTCTATTTATCTTGGCTATTGTATTGTATATATTTATGAGTAGTTTCTGGTATTGTGTATGATACCTATGAATGTGGAATGTGTATGGTGGCTGCTTGTGGAATTGTGTGTGTGGATAATATGTCACATAGTGTGTTTGGTGTGTCTGTAAGTGGGGCTGCTTGTGCGGGGTTGTGTGCATGTATGTGGATTGTCAGTGGTGTGTCTGTGGGGGCTGTGTGTGTGTTTGTGTGCGGTTTGTTTGTATTATTTGTATGAGAGGGAGGCTTATTCTGCAACTCCATGTATATCTAGCAGTGTGGGTCCAATGGGGACCGGACTGGCCAAGTACAGGACGTGGGCAGGAGGTACAATAGCTGATGCAGGTAGCTCTATGCTAGTGTAGTTTCTGGTTCCCAATTGCTGGGAGGAAATTATCTGAAATAAGTGCTGTAATGCATAAATTGAGTATTGTCCCTCACCACCTTTTTGCACTAACAGATATATGAAATTCCACTGGGACTCCTGATAGGCCAAAACTTGTTTAGCTATAGAAGTCTTGAGTGCCGTGCAAAGGCACCCTGAGTGCCATAGGTTGCCTACCCCTTGCATACGGGATAGAACTACAGGGGTCTGTTGAACCTCTTATTTATTTGTTTATTATTTCGTTTTATAACATTGTATTGAAATGGAATTCTATGTTGCTTCCCTATTCAAGCTTTCCTTACACGGGTGGATTACGTAACTATATACACTCTGATCAGTGGTCCCCAACCCAGTCCTCATAGACCACCAACGGTCCAGGATTTATGTATTTCCCTTTTTTATTCCAATGGAAATGCTGAAAAAACCTGGACTGTTGGTGATCCATGAGGACTTGGTTGGGTACCGCTGTTCTAGATAACTAGAAATACTTTTTAGGTTTGAAATAAAATGTATGCACTACAATGTCAAATCAGAAGGAAGCATAGCAAAGTTTACCCTGCTTTGGTAAGATGCATGTGACTACGTTTGCACATTTTCCAAAGACACAGATGAGTTCTATGCAATCCGCTTTAATATAAGTACATGCTTTGTTTCTCCCTTGAAGGTATAAGAGCCTCAACAAGGCTATAAGTGCTTAAGTACAAGTGACTTAAGCTAAATAACTGATTATTTCACTTGTGAACAGAAAAGGAGGTAATTAAAGTTAAAGCCTGGCTATTTGACGTACTTAACAACATGGTTGAGAAACACGTATGATGATTATTCACCTAGAGCTTTTAAAGTGGGTCTACCATGTTTTTTTTTGGTTTTGCCTAATGGTACTCATAATTATCTCTGTATAATGAGTTCTTTTTGTTTGTTTGTGTCATCGTTTAAAGTTATTGTACTGTAAATGTAGACTGTCTACCCTATTGACATCTCTTCCTGTTTAAGTTCCTTGATACCTTCATCTCAGCCGTCACTATGTGTAAGGTAATCAACATCTGAGGTCACAAAACACCCAAGTTATATGTTTTGGTAAACAAATTGAAAAATACAAGGAGCATAAGCATGGAATACTAAGTAAAGGGACAGATCAGAAAGACTAGATGCAAGAATACATAGAAAATAATGTAAAACAAAATCATCTTAAATTTTGTTTAAAAATGCAACAAATACTTGTATCTTAGCGCCACCTTCTTTGACATCCAAGAGGATTTTGTAAGAAAAGATAATGGAAACATACAGCTGCACATTTAGTATAAATCACTGATGAGCAGAAATCTGTATATTTTTTTTTACAAGGGAGTGTGCGGACTCTGTAAATGTACAAACAGAGCCACTTAGCCACTTGTCATTCATAAAAAAAAAAAAAGTATGAATGAGATTTTCTTACAATAAATGGAATCAGAGAGGAGTGAGTATTTCTCATTTGTGTGAAATCAATGAGAGTGTTGGGATTGATATCCTGAGGATCATCTCATTGAAGAAGCATCAGATTATTATTATTATTATTATGTTATTTATATAGTGCCATCAAATTCTGCAGCGCTTTACAATGGGTGGACGAACAGACATGTAGTTGTAACCAGACAAGTTGGACACACAGGAACAGAGGGGTTGAGGGCCCTGCTCAATGAGCTTACATGCTAGAGGGAGTGGGGTAAAATTACACAAAAAGGTAAGGATAGACTAGTGACAGTTGCAGAAGAGGAATCAGTCAGGAGCTATTAACAGTTTAATTGATACTCTTTTATGAAGAAGTGGGTTTTTAATGATTTTTTGAAGGAGTGGAGACTGGGTGAGCATCTAATGGAGGAGGGAAGTGAGCTCCTCAGGAACAGTGCAGCCCTCGAGAAATCTTGAAGGCGAGCATCAGAGGTGGGAGTACGGACAGAAGATAGACGTAAGTCTTCAGCAGATCGTAAGGGCCTAGATGGGACATACTTGTGTATAAGGCAGGATAGATAGGTGGGAGCAGCATTATGTAGCGATTTGAAAGCAAGAACCAGAATTTAAAATTTAGCTCTATATTTTATAGGAAGCCAATGTAGGGACTGACAGAAGGGTGAGGCATGGGAGGTGCGGGCGGACAGGAAGATGAGCCTCGCCGCCGCATTCATTATGGACTGTAATGGCACAAGTTGGGAGCACGTAAGACCACTGAGAAGTGGATTACAGTAGTCAAGGCGAGAAAGGACAGTGGAATGGACCAACACCTTAGTCGCTTCTGGCGTTAAGTAGGGGCGGATGCACGCAATGTTTTTGAGATGGAAATGACAGGATTTGGCGATAGACTGAACATGAGGCTTGAAGGAGAGGTCAGAGTCAAAGAGAACACCTAGGCAGCGAGCCTGCGTGGTGGAGATAATGGTAGCACCGTTGACTTGGAGGGAGACAGACACAGGAGTAACAACACTTGAGGGAGGAAAGACCAGAATTTCAGTTTTGGTCAAGTTTAGTTTAACCCCTTTAGGACACATGACATGTGTGACATGTCATGATTCCCTTTTATTCCAGAAGTTTGGTCCTTTAGGGGTTAAGGAAGTGGGCAGCCATCCAGTTAGAAACAGCAGAGAGGCAGTCAGAGACACTAGTCAAGAGGGACGGGGAGAGATCAGGAGAGGACAGGTAGATTTGAGTGTCATCTGCATAGAAACATAATAGATACAAAATCCCAAGAAAAGAGTTACTTGCGTACAATCCGAAATCTATTTGCACATTCAAATAAATGGAGCTTTTTAATATCACTCCAATGGCCATTAGATTGGAAGCTTATCTGCCAAACCTCTTAGGTGAGACCTACGCTAACAATTCACCTTGTTTCTCTAATGAGACAGAGAGGGGTATTTTTGTAGATCCCTACACACTTTTTAACCCTTAAGGAGCACATTGGATGGTGGCAGTGATACAAAGCAGATACAAACATAGAAAAATAAGTTCTGCGCTCAAACTCCCATTACTCATGAGTGGCAGCAATGACTATAGTATATAGTCCCAATTCATACAATAAAAACCAAAGAAAATACCTGATCTCCAGGTTCAACACCTTTTCTGCCATAGATATAGGCTGCATGGCAAATATTACAATCAGCTGCTTTCTTACTAGCCTAGGAGTTTAAGTAATGAATAAACCTTTTTTTGGCAGACGATGGAATAGAACATCAAACCTTTAGTCAACTAACAGAGCTGGATCCCACCTGATATTAGGGAGATCCAGGTATTACTTGATAAGTGGAGTTCCCTTCTGTCATCAGTTATCATATTTAGTGCCTCCACACTGGACGATTAGCAGAGTGCCACAACATATTTATAATGTCTAATTGTAGTGTAGGGTTAGGTCTGGTGAAGGGTTACTCCTTGTTATATTTAAAGTTTATGTAGGGTTAGACATGTTTAAGTTCAGCTAGGGTAAAGGTTAGCTAGTGTTAGTGTTACCTTGTGTTAGGGTTAGCCAGGGACAGTTAGAGTTAGAAATGATTATAAATAGTGTCACTTCACCAGATAACATCTTCACCAGATAAGCAAAGATATATGTCAAAATTATGGCATATTTGCAATTTTAACCTATACGTTCATTAAAGTTATACAAGTGAGATATTGTTATATTCAAGAGATGCATCTGAATACAAATTTGACTTTCTGAAATAGTAGAAAACACAAATTCTCCAAATTCAATATGTATGTGAAAAAAAGCCCTTGTATGCAAGCACACATAATATTGGAAAACCTTTTAGCAGCACTGTGCCGATATAGGACTGTGATGTCCCGTAGCGTGCCGGTCCTATTTTTTAAATTGAGGTGTGTATGGTGCCGTATTCTGCTTGTGTTATTTTTACTGTGATTGCTTTGTCTCATTGTATTTGTGTGTATAGGAGCTATTATATTGTATATGTTCATTAGTAGTTTATGGTATCGTGTATGATACGTATGAATGTGGGCTGTGTATGGGGGTTGCTTGTGGAATTGTGTGTGGATGGATAAGTCACATTGTGTGTTTGGTAGTGTGTGGGGGCTGTTTGGGGTATTGCATGTGAGAGGCTGCATGTGAGGTTGTGTGCATGATGTGGATTGTTAGCGGGCTACGTTTGTGCGGATTGTGTGTATGTTTATGTGTGGGCTGTTCGGATTATTTGTATGAGGGGAGGGTTATTCTGCATTTCTATGTATATCTAGCAGTGTGGGTGGCTTCCCTGGGTTCCAGTGGGGACCAGGCTGGCGAGGTACAGGTCAAGGACAGGAGCTGCAACAGCAGCTGTGGGCTGCTCTACTACAGATCCGAGATCACTTCCTCTATGTGCTGCAATGCATAAATTGAGGATTGTCCTTCACCACCTTTTTGTATTAGCAGATATCTGAAGTTTTACTGGGACTCCTGATAGGCCAAAGCCTGTTTGGCTCTAGCAGCCTTGAGTGCCGTGCAAAGACACCTTGCGTGCCGTGCATGGCACTAGTGCCGTAGGTTGCCTACCCCTGCCCTAGTAAATAAGAAGTTAATATATAAGGGATCTAATCACAAACAATAGATCTGTTTTAAATATAGGTGATGAATGCATAAAATGGTCCAAAAACTGTGACAGATGTACTTTAAGCCTCTGTCATATTATGTTGCATATCCACTCAATAGTAACTCAATTTAAAAATCCTGTAGCTATGATTACATGTTAACCAATCAAACATTTGTGGTTACTTTGACGTGGTAGGATTGTTGGCGTCCAATGATTTTATACATTATGGTCTCTTGAGGTTTCAGAGAATGGTGATCTAAGCAACGATATACACAGCACATTATTTAGTTAGTAGGCATTCACATCTTTTAGGCAAATAGATGTAACATTTTACATCTTTATTCAATTAATTCATAGTTTTGGTCTCGTTATAGCATGATAACATTTTCGAACTTGGACGACAAAACCAACAGAAAAATAGATTTGGAAATTAGGATTGTGATCAATTAGAGTACTGTTGAGTTGTACTGAATTATAGTTAGAAAATATAGTTGATTATTATTATTATTGCCATTTATATAGCGCCAACAGATTCCGTAGAGCTTTACAATATTAAGAGAGGTGGATGTAACTATAAATAGGACAATTACAAGAAAACTTACAGGAACAATCGGTTGAAGAGGACCCAGCTCAAATGAGCTTACATTCTATAGGAGGTGGGGTATAAAACACATTAGGCCAGGATTATTTAATGATGCTGGATTGCAATGTCATAAAATGGAATAATATTCTATTTTCGTTATAGTTTATTTTTCACAGTGTTTACGTATTTGTTTATTAAATCTATAGTTTTATGTGAATGTGTATTATTTTACCACCACTATCTCAAAAATATAATCTCTGTACTGCTGTTTGTATGCAGAAAAGTAAAGAGATCAAGTATCTATAATAATATGTATTAGAATGCCTGTATCCTTCAACCATAAACAGACACTCGTGTTTTGTAGTATGGTTTGTTGCAGAGGAAAAATAAGTTTTGTGCTTTGATGCTTTTTGTGTTTCTCATGATATAAATGCCTTTGCCAGCTGAGCCTATTACGTGCATATTTGCTATTATGCTGTTCTTATGTTGAGTCATTATTTGGTAATCTTATTAGAGAACATGCTCCTTTGCATCATGACTTCAGAACAATGTCATTATGTGAGTTAGCGTTTCCCATCCTGGCTCATCATTCTAGAATTCTGCAATATGCAGGATGTGTCAACAGGATTGCTGGGAAGTTGAGTACATTGTGATCAGATTGGGAATCATCGAAGTGTGCTGTATCCTGTTGCTAATTCTTATACATTAGCTGAACCTAAGAGGACTCTTTAAAATCCTTACAATTATTTTTATTTATTACATAATCTGCATAAGACATTTTGTTACATGTAGACCACAAAATTGTTAGTGTTGTAATGAGTTTTTGCTTTGTGATTTGACAAATAATTTAAAAATAAGCTGCAATGAGGCTTTGAATTTCACATCAACATCTTCATGACCAATTATTTTTTATAGTTTTATTTAGCAGCACAGTAGCAGTTTAATTCTTTAAAATGGTCCAAATAAAAGACACATGAAATTTATATTAGCAGAGCTGCTTTATTCTTACTAGATTAACATGTTTTAACTGTTTCAGAGCCAGCAATTGCCCACCCATATATGTGCTATTGTACACTATACAGTATTTATTTAACCCTTTACGATCACAATAAAAAAATAATAATTAGCATAGCAATTAACACAGGACGAGCACTATCAAATAGCAATTTTGTTGATAACATTCAGGGATATCTAAAAATAAGAACATGATTTGAGCCGTTCCACTGCCTTCTAATACTGCCTGCACATGCGGCCTAGTCTGCATAGCAGCCTGGTGACTGGGGGAGGTGGCAGACCCCTCAACATGGGGTTGGATCCGCATGATGACCATCTTGCAGCCCTGCGACCCTCTTCCTCGTGGACCGGTGTGGGATATCTCGGTCCCCACTGCAGGCACTCACCGTGTGCCTGCAACAGTATCTATGGACAAACCAAACACAAAATTGCGAGCCCAAGATGGCCACCGCACTTCAACATACTCACCTATAGGAAGGCTCATCACTCCAGACTTAGAGAGAGCTATGTCAGGAGTTTTGGAGTTGAATCTAGAGTCGAAGCTCTGAAGCTACTGTGGAGTCTCTAACCCAAACTACTGCGCCGGAGTGCTGACCCCACTCTGGGCTGGGAACCCACGTGAAGATACTACCTAACAATCGTCTGATCACATGACAGGTTCTCCGTTCCCCGAAGCTCTCTCGAGCCCACAAATCTGCTGCACGCAACAGGAAGGCCCATGGAAAAGCATATAAGGCTCTTTTTAAAGCATGGGCTTTCGGAGACGCAGAACTCTGTATGGGGGCATATAGCGACACTAGCCCTGGCATGGTCGCAGTCTTTCTAACATGGCTACATGTGGCATAGGATAGACCTGTGATATAGCTCTCCTGTTTATCACTAGTTACTCCTGTTTTCAGTGCAGTGACATTTTGCTTTTGCTTTTTTTTTTTGGGGGGCTTATTCCTTTCTGGTGATGTATATCCAGTGTTACCAAAGCAAAATTGCTCATGCTAGCTGGGTTTACAGTTAGTCTATTTAATTTAAAATTACATTATAACATGCTTCTTATTACTCAAATATGTTTGTGACATCTGTCGTGCCTAAAATACATGTTCTGTATATACGCTATTATGTTATACCTTGTTAAGACGCGAGTACCCGACCTGACTGTGAGGCCTGTCTTACTATTTGTTACTAAAAAAAATTAGGCCGATTTGCGAAGGAGTATGATTTTATGCTTTGTGATATTCTTATGCTGTGTATTTCTGTTATACTATCTTTTTCATTTTCTCTATCTTATATATCAGTTGGCTGAATAAAAGAAGGAATTAAAAAATTTAAAAAAAAATGTCTTCTACCCGTATTTCCGTGACTCGCCTAAACTCTGTGTGGCGACGGCTCTGTCTCGCTATGTGGCGCTTACTTCTCCACTTCGCCCTTCCAGTTCCAGTTAGCCCTCACAAGCCGGTCTCTTCCCCTACCCTGGCTTAGTGGATTAAATGGTTGTTATGAATTCAACCTTTGGGTGTGAATTCGACCTTCGGAGCGAATTCGGCTAGAGGCACGCCTCTCTCCAAGATATCTTGCGTTTGGCTGACTGGTCCCGGGAAGAGACCTTCCGTCAATTTTATTTCAGACCGGCGGATCATGCTTCTTTTGCTTTGCTGTCTGAGCATTAAAACAGCAAATATGAAGCCTCCTGTCATGTTATAATATTGTAGATTATACTGGCTTTAGTGTAACTATAATCTTAATTTTATTAATGACATTAGGCGAATATTTCCCTCCCAGTTTTCCCCTACCCTTGTTACTCTTTTGTTCATTTTATTGGTCCGTCTCTGGTTGATAGTTTGTTTTTCAGATCTATGATTAGATATGTGAGTAGTTTTCACTTACTGGGGAAGTCGGGGGGATATTTTATGGAGATTGTACTGCCTGTAATTGATTATGGGGACTTCATGTTTTCACAGTACATTTCATTCACTAACCGGAGTTTTTCGACTCTGTTTATCTCGTTTCAGTTTAATGGTTCATCTACAGATCCACATTCAATGCCTTCTTCTGGATAAAGTTTGATGGTTCAGCTACGGTTCCACATTCAGTTTCCTCTTCTGGATGAAGGCCATCGTTTGGATTTTTTTGATTTCTACTGTTAGTGCTATATGGATATGTTTGTTTCTGTTCTTTGTTTTGTTGCAGCTTGAAAGAGGAAGTAGTTGGTTGGGAGGGGACTTTTATTCTTCCTTACTTTTTTCTGATTGGTTGTTTCTCTCTATGTTAATGTGCTGCTGTGGAGTTCTAGTAAAGAGAGACTTAAGCAAATAATCGCCTACTGTCATTAATAAAAATTAAGATTATAGTTTCACTAAAGCTAGTATAATTGAAGGCAGTATGAAAATATATATATACAGGGCCGTCTTTAATATTTACCGGACCCTGGGCAACCATTTTCTTGGGCCCCCTGGACCTTGCACCCTCCCACTCCCTAGCATGCAATCATGACATCCACCCCAATGCAGTGGAAGAACTAAAGTAGAAAGGGCCCTAATGCGAGATTTGTTTTGGGCCCCCCTATCGCAAGACTGGCCAAAAGGTAGATCACTATCTGTCGTGCAACTTTAACAATGCTTTGACAGCTGGAGCTCTACCATTTTCCCATGCTTGCAGGTTTGAATGTAAGTGTGTTTATGTTTTTGAATGTAAGCATGTTTTTGCATGGAGTATGTTTGTGTGACTGTAGGGGTGTGTTTGTATTGGTGCTGGCATTTGAATGTAAGTATGCATTTATGTGTAGTGTTGGTTTTTGAATGCAGGGGTGTATTGATATTGATATTTAATTTTGGTGCAAAATACAGATTTGTGTTTGTACGTAGTGTTGACGTTTCAATGCAGGAGTCTGTTGATATGTAATGTTGGCATTTGAATGCTGAGATATATGCACATATACACATACCCTGCAACATACACACACTGTGATACCTGTACACACACAGATATACACTAAACACTTGCAGATACACAGATATACACACTTACACATGCAGATACATACATAAAGGCACACCAATACACATACAGATACACAACTTGACACACATGCAGACACACAGACACACACATACAAACACTGACACACATGCAGTTACTCAGACACACATACTGACAACACACACAAACATACAATGACAGACATACTAAGACACACACTGACAGACATACTGACACACAGAGACATACACTGACAGACATAATGACAAACACAGGCACTGACAGACATACTGACACACAGACACATACACTGGGAGGCATACTGTCACAGACAGACACACACACTAACACATAAACATACACTGACAGACATACACTGACACACAAACACACACACACAGACACATACACTGGCAGACATACTGACACACACATACACATATCTTGGCGGACGTACTGGCACAGACAGACACATACACTGGCAGATATAGTGACACACGCACGCTGAGACATATTGACACACACATAAACATATATTGACAGACATACTGACATACACACAGACACAAACAGACATTCTGACACACAGACACATACAATGGCAGACATAGTGACCCGCACACTGACACACACAAACATACACTGACAGACATAGTGGGACACACACTGACAGACATACTGACACACAGAGACATACACTGACAGACATAATGACATAAACACAGGCACTGACAGACATACTGACACACATAAACATACACTGACAGACATACTGACACACACACTGACAGAAATACTGAAACACAGAGACATACACTGACATACATAGTGCCATACACATACACTGACAGACATACTGACACACACAGACAGACACATACACTGACAGACATAGTGACACACACAGACAGACATACTGACACACACACACAGACAGACACATACACTGACAGACATAGTGACACACACAGACACATATACTGACAGACATACTAACCCACAGACACATACACTGATAGGCATACTAACCCACAGATGCATACACTGACAGACATACTAACACAGATAGACACATACACAGGCAGACATAGTGACACACACAAACACATACACTGACAGACATACACTGACACACACACACACAGACACATACACTGGCAGACATACCGACACACACACACACTGACTGACATACTAACACAGACAGACACATACAGTGACAGACATACTAACATACGCACAGACACTTACATAGACATACTGACACAAACTTGCACTTTTAAACATACCCTCCAGTTTCCTACCTTGGAGAGTGGTTTCCTCAATGTCCACACTGATGGCTGATGCTGCTGGGAGTTGGGGTTTGTCTCTCATGGCCCAGCCACCCTCCTCTCTTTCTCCCGTGCGGCTTCTCTTCTCCTTTGTGGGAGGAAGTGTCTCGCGGCCATCACTTCCTTTCAGAATGCTGAAAAGCAAGGGGCCGGGCCCCTGATTACAAATGCCCACTGGGTGGCACTGGGTGCTTGGGCCTTGAGTGCTGGCTTTTTGTGAACTTTATATATATATATATATATACATATATATATATATATATATGTATTTATGACTTGACATGTCTGCTACGTTCCCTATCTATGTTCATTTCCTAAAAAGGAAAATAATGTCAAAGCAGATAATTCTAATGCAGCAAGTGTAACTGTTTTCAGTTTTCAGATTTGGTGCCAATATTCATTTTTATGAGAATATCATTCACTCCAGGCAGTTAAAGTGAATACAATATTACTTTATGCAGGTGCTAATCCCTGATACACGAGGCAATGTGTACCTCCTTGAAGCAACATTAAAATTACTATCACCGCTCTCTGCCAAACATTTACATGAGTATGACAACATATTCATTCATTCATGATTGCTAATTCCAGAACTTCTTCTTGGCATATAGAGGTAATCATGGTAGTCACAGACAAGTTTGTTTCTTGTATTATAATTGTTTTGTTTAATTTATTTTCTAATACTAATGGAATATTTTAGCAAGCATTTTATAGATCAGGCTGAGAATTTAATAAATATGTCAGATTAACTACACCTGGGTAAATTGATATGATCATCAATGTAAGCAACTTTCATTACTTAACTGCAGATCTATCATCATTGGGACTCGAAATCTGAAGCCAGTAAAAATTGTGATCCCTAATCATTTGTATTTCATATGCTTATATTTTCAGAACTCCACAAGGATGACTTTGATGAAACAAAATCAGTTAGCTGACAACAGAAATAAAGACTAGTTTTAAAGACTACACTTTGTTTTTGTTTTCTTAATTAACTAATGATTCTCATCTTAATGCTTGTTTATGTGTGTGGAAGAAGAATAGTTTTGGTTTCTCTGCCCACATTTAGAAAGATACTTTTAAATGTTAATGACATACGGAATTCACCATAATGAGCCATTTGTTGGTAAGATAGTTTGATGAACGTACAAAGATAACATGATTTTCAGTATTTTAAAATGGTCCCAGACTTGTCAGTTCTCAAGTAAGTTGAGTATCTTCACTAGACTACAGACGCGTACAAATTTTTTGCAGGCGATTCAGTGTTTCACAGTGATAGATAATTGGGTAAACTAGGTTTAAGACCTATTTTTTAGTTTCGGTACTTTGGCCAAAAATTTGTAATTCAGTTGCCAGCTTGTCATCAAAACTTTATCTTGACTATGATAACTGCCTGCCTGGTGACGTTGTGGGAGGCAGAGCGGCAGGCAGTCTCGCACAGTCTCAGCACTGGAGAAAAGGTTAAATAAAATAAAAATGGATTTTATTGCAGTTTGAGGGGACCTCAGAACTATATGTATACTAGGGTAATTTAGCTAGAGGACTATTTGTTTATTTAATGATGTAGTGGTTATGCAGCTTGCAGTGTTCTTTTACATTTCCATTAATTTTTGGAAATACACTTTTCAGCAATGTGCATCTTTTATAATACAATATGTTCTCAAATTTGTTTTTGAGAAATATAGAGATAGTTCTGTACCATTTACACTGCTGTGGAATGCAAGGCACACACATGCACACATTCACACACAAACCATATGCAAACACATGTACATACTTTCATGCACACAAACTCAGAGAATCACAGACACAAGCACAAATACACATAAACACGTACACACAAATAGTGTTTGTTTCTTACAATATCCATAAAAATTGATGGGAATCACACGTCTGCACAACAGCCGTGGCTGTAACTGCTACCTGATAAATTGAATTGTACCCTGAAAACAACATTCAATAATGACTTATGAACTTGAAGAAATCTGCTTTAATAGCTTACAGTGCTCATTCAGCTAGTATATTTTATTCATATATGTAGCTATTATATAACGCCTGTTTAGTGTATTGTATGCAATACTGTATAGATAACATCTGAATGTTATAGTTTAGTTTTTTTTTTAAATCAAATAGTCTTTAACCCCTTAAGGACCAAACTTGTGGAATAAAAGGGAATCATGACATGTCACACATGTCATGTGTCCTTAAGGGGTTAAAGTGATGATGACAATAATAAAGCTCAGGGTCTTTAGTAATTCTTTACTGAGATTCTGGTATCTTATTAAATGACAGATCTCTGCCCTTACAGACCATAAGATACTAGACTATATTCTAACCTTCACAGACTAGAGATCTTCCTTTTAGGTTGAATCTATTCCAGCATGTCTGTCATTTAATGACAGCTGCCTGCCTCTGATCCCATTATATTCGTTAAATCCAAAAACCTAAATCCAAACTCAAAACTTTCACCCTTCCCGTATTCCAATCTCTCTCTCTCTCTGTATATTTAATATTCTCTACAACAACCCAAAGCTAATCTTTAGATGTCTTGTTTGGCGAAGCCTTTACTTCCATCATCAGACATTTGCTTCTCCGGATCCATTTACTAATCAGGAAACTAAATATTTCCATTCACCTATTAGTTCCTGTCTCTTTTTTCAAAGCCTTCAGTTAAACAGCTCTTTTGCAATTTCCCCACTTACCGCTCTTAATATCGCAAGTATGATACAATGCCTTATGGAGCATATTCATTAAAAAAAACACACATATATGTTTCTTAGATGAGTTATAGATCTCGTTGTCTTATTCCTCATTCAATGAGATATTTTAAACACTGTCATGAATCAACCCCCATACAAGAATATAAACTATTTATCACACAAGAGATTCATATTAATCTGTGAGGAATAATACCTTCATAAATCACTGTACAGGATTCTTGTACCTTTGAAAATAAGTTTAAAGCACAATCGTTGGCTTTCAAAGCCCACAGTGATACTACAATTCCCTTACATCTTACTGTTCATCTCCCAAACCCCCTTTCTGTTCCCCAATGGCACACTTCTTCTTATAATGTCTCCTTATCTTCACTGCTAAGATGCTTATTTTTCTGTACCTGACATACAGATTTCTCTGCTATTTTATAAAACATTTACCATACAAAATGTATTGTCTGTTGCTTGTGAAAATTGAAGAAATGAAAGCAAATAGACTTTATTTATGCAGCAGGATGATAGTGCCTTTATAGACCAGACATCATCTCTTAAACAACACAATTTTCATATTTTGCAATGAAAATAAAACAGAAATAAGCTGTATCAGTACACATTCATCGCATGGACCGACTGAGCCTAACTAACATAAATTACAAGGATAAAAATACAAAATAGGGTTGAAAGCATGAGGCAGAGTGAACATGACCCTGAGGGACTTTTGAACTAAATGAGTCATGCAGAGCAAGTTCTCAGTAATGGAACAGTGTAAGTGCATAGAAAATCAGAAGTAAATACATGAGCTTGGTAGGGCTTGAAGGACAGTCATTAATGTTAACTACTCAACTACTCTAGTAGTTCATAAATCAGAGTATTGGAGAGTTCACCTGGATCCCAAAAGCAGGTAATAGATCTCCAGTAAATTGATAAATAAACATTATAAATGGCAAATACAGTCACTGCAAAGAAGTGCTTTCTCATACCAACATATGTTCTCTAGTTAAAAGTAACACTTAATTTCACTAGCCTTTGTAAGTGAATATTTAAATTTTATTCATTTCACTTCTACTTCTGCTATTGCTTCTCCGTTTGGTTTTGGATGAAACCTCTGATGCATCATTCATACAATCATCCTTGATTATACTTTTAAATAGCTTAAATAGTTATAAATGCATAAATCTACAGAAGTAAGCGTAATAACATAGCTCACACAACTGGGGCGTAGCTAGCAGCAAAGGCACATGGACGCTTAATTTGCAAGAAGAATCCTATGTCATCCACTTTCTGTTTTCCCATAGGAAGAAAATATAGAGCTCCATGGGTGCAGAAGACCCCTCTCCACCTACCTAGCTAAAAATATACCAGCGTAAACAAGTGTGTTATAGATAATGTGCCGCCTACTTCCCGACTACTCCACAGTTACATATATGATTTGATTAAGTTCATAGAGGCCTCAGACTGAGGAGCCAGGATGGCGATAAACAATGAAATATTATATGCCAGTTGCATCATTATCATCTGAAAGGCGAGAAACTCCCTGGCTTTACAAGGGTTCAATTTCAACATTCTCCTGCTCCTTGACCTTGCATGTTTGACCATGCAGGCAAAACAAATATTTTCCTCATTTACCAAACTGCTAAGAGACTGGAAGATCTGAATTTGGTGGGGGTTTCTATTTAACCTCTTGGCCTTTTAACAATGGTGTTACCTGCACCCTTCACTGTGTGAAAGCCTGTTGGCTTTTAATCTGACACATTTGGATATATTAGCATTATTTGGGATCTCTAACTCTACTACCTACCACTCCTCTCCCACAGCTGCCTAGATGGCAGTTTAGATTTAAGGAAACACCGCAAAGAAGAATGCATTGGAAACCTCCCAATAAAACACACACATTGGTTATTCCTGAACACCCTATATATGCAAATCATATAAACACAATATGTGTAAGAACACTTCATAAAGTGCATATACCAAAACTGGTAATGTATACCAAAGGTGAGATAC